GTTGATGATTCCAAGCCATCCTTCTCAGCTCCACTGGAGCACCCACAGAGGTGAACCTACAGGTGCATCTCCTCCCAGGTGACACCTGGGCTGGTGGGGAAAGCATCCAACCCTCCACAATGGGTCATGGGGGGTATTTTGTAAGTTTTTTGTAAGCTATAAGGGCAGGGATTGAAAGTGTCTAGAGGAGTAACAGGGCACCCTTCAAAGGGAAGAAACCTGGATTTAAACCCACAGAATTTAGTCACTGAACTGAGGTTTTTTACATGATGGTCAAAAGATCCAACTTGTGAGCTGCTATACAGAGGGAAAAGAGTGTTTATACTTTCCAGCTTTGTTAAAGGAGGGGGGGCAAGTTTTTCTTTACTTTTAAATTCACATTGTAAAAGCTTAATCTTTGTAAATTTGTGTGAATAAACGTGGAGAATTGTACACTGTGCAGTGACACTCTTTCAAGAACAGAAAAGCAAGACATTCTTTCCTATTTTTTCTAACATACACAGGCTTAAGAACTGAGATTTCTAACCCAGTATAACAGCACAAAAGTAGGGACCTTTTGGCCAACAAGTTGAAGATCTAGCAGCAGGGAAAGACAGGAAATTTTTTTGCCTTTCTTTTTCCCTTGATTTGTTGGTAATTTTTTTTTCTAGATATTGGAAATGAACACAGCAAAAGGAAAGGTGGGCTTGAATTCAGAAGAACTGAAGCTTTGATCCTAAGAAAGTTAAAAGTCAGAGCACAGAGAGTACACACATCACTAGGTCAGGGGAAGTGATGTCACACTCATAATGAGCAACAACAATGCTTCTGAAAAAAACCAGCTTCAGAAAATGCCCCCCTAGATATTACATCAAGGGGTATGTTTGCATGTTAACTGCCTCCAAGCAATCTTTTCTATTAAACTACTTTATGTGCAGGACTTCCAGATCATTTACAGGGCAAGTGCTTAGGAAAGTAGGGGCTTTCCAAGCGCCTGAAAAGATTGTCTGACTGATTGTCTGTCTACAGGTTTTCTTTTAAAGCTATTTTAAGTATATGATTCCATCCCAGCTATTTAACTCAGGAACCTGCCAATCACACACTGCCTAATTGAACTCTTGGATACTGTAGGATTGTAAGCCACAAAGCATATGAACAAAAATGTGAAAAAAGGGTTTTCTGCTGTTATTTCATTCTTCAAACCCAATTTGAAAAGGTCAAATTTCAGATTGCACAGCCCCATTGAGACTCAGGGACTAAACTGGGACAATCAAAAAAAAAAAAAAAAGCTAATTTTTTTCTTCCATTTTTGAAAAGCAAGAGGAGGTCTTTAATACTAGTTACTTGCTGGGGCTGATAGCAAGGTCTTAGGGTGGGGAAAGGACAATGAAAACTGAAAAAGGGAGACATGAGTCAGGTTTTGTACTGCTGAGCTGCTAAATGATGACTGACTGACTGTATGACATCCCCTTCAGAGACACTTGTAATCCTGCTTTGTCTTGTTTGATTTTTTTTTCTTCAAAGAGAAAACATGGAAAAACAAACAGAATTAGGGTCTAAATAAGGGAAAATACTTCTGGAATACATTCTACAAAAGGCTAGAAATAAACTCCATTTCACAATGGTTGGACTGTGGTTCTGAGCCAAAGCCCCCTGAGGTTAAGTGAAAACCTCCTTGATTTCAACATGTCAGAACCTAAACCTCAGTGTTTTACGGAAATGAGAGTGGCAGTATTTATCTTGGCAAGTATTAAACAAATTTAAGCTACTAATTTAATCAGTATACAAATGTGTTATTGTTTCTATGTTTATTGATTGACTACATAAACATGTGTGACCTCAAATGGCATAAAACCTTAGGACTCCAACAACTCCAGTGGAGTAGTGAGAGTTAATGTCAGCTGAGAGATCTGAACAATAAAGGAGAAGGGACTCTACACATTCATGGCCATCCATGCTCTTAAATGAAATATGACTCAGTGAGCTCCTAATATTGGCTGAAGAGCAGTTACTCTAAGGGAGAAAAAGACACATATAGCCCATGTAGCAGGTGGTTTGCACTTGTGATCACCCCCAAAAGCTGCCAGCACTGTGTAGTTGATATTGAAGGGGTAAATGAGTGTTAATTCTGCTGACCTTATTTGCAGAACTTCTTCCATCCTGTGAGCTTTAGTGACTGTCAGGCTGCACACTTCACAAAGCTGTCTACTAGATATTTTATTTCTAGAGTTTTGCTTTTTTTCACCTGGGGCACTTGAGTCATGTAACTTCAGCAATCAATTTTGGCCCAAAGCAGCACAGGCCTCAGTCACAGAAAAGCAAGTATTTGCATGCAAGCTTGCTATTAAAGCACCAGGGAGAAGAGTGAGTACACAAAAGCTTAAGAAATTGGAATCTGAGTTGAATCATCACACAGTCAGCTAAATTACTAGCCCTGTAATCAGCCTTTTTGGAGGTCTCTTAATTGTTAATCCCTTTGCTGGTTATAATTGCTTTATTGAATCTAAATTAATCCAATTTTTTAAGAAATTATCATGCAATTCTAATGGCTACATAAAATTAAAAATATGGAAACTACTTTGAGAACTAATTTAGATTAAGCTCTGTTGAAAAAATTAGTCTTGAGAATGGTATTTTTTGTGGGGTTTTCTTGGGAATATTGAGTTTGCAAGGATGAGAAGAGTTAATATTTGATTTACACAGTGTATGCAAAGCAGTTGTATTTAAAAATTCACTAGTTTGGGAGTATCCACTGCATATGGAGAGAGAGTCAGTGCCAAATCAGAGCTGGATCCATGCCAAGGAAAGAGAGCCAGGGGTTAGACATCTGTAAAGTGTTGGATGGGATGAAGACAAAGGTAAAACACTTTGGATCATTACACATCTAGGCCATTTCCTAGCCACTCATGTAAATCAAATTTTCCAGACCAAATCCACCATATCTAAACATGGATATTTGCATATTTTTCAGTACACAGAAATTTTATTGGGTCCCATAAGGACTGACTTAATCTGAACATATACCACTGAAATTACCAAGGTATTATCTGACCTAGTCTGGGATAGAAAAAAAAATATATATCTTCCAGGTGTCTGGGACTTCCAACACTACCAGGAATTACCTCATTATCCCACAGCACTATTCTTTATCCCTCATCAGATAAAGAGTATTGGGGGAAGGACATGGAAACATGAGAAGGAGAAGAGATAAAAGGAAACTAGGAAGAAGAAAAACATGTTGAGTCTTAATTGAGCTTGGAGAGGAAGCAGAAGGAGAAAAACATAGTTGGCTGGTTTATGATTTATTCTCTTTAGTGATCTGTGTTTGCAGTAGATTGAAACGTGCTCTTGTTCCTAATATATATTTTATTCTTTGTTTATCAAGTGTGAAGTCAAGGATGAACAAGTTAAAGTTATGGGCAAAGTATGATGCTTCTTTAGAGCCAATCTCATGAGGAATTACGTTCTAAAGCCCAGTGAGCATGTTAACATTTTCCAAGCAGTTACACATCGTTCTACCCTGAGCCTCAGCTCAAGGAATACATTAGTTTAGTGTGTTACAATAAACATTTAAATGTGTTTCAATAAACATTTAAATGTATTAAACTTTATATAATCATCTATGTGCATAATGTGAAATCTTGATGCCCACTGCTTCACTGAGAAATCACTGAGCACAAGAAAAGAAATCAAGGCTAAATTTAGGTTTCATAAATAATTATTACTGTTGAACCAGACTTTGCGCTTTGATTCCTGTGGACTGTTTCACTGGCTTTAAGAGAATTTATATGGATTCTATGTTTACATGCACATTTAAAATTCCATATTCATATGTAAAGATATGTATCATCTTTTATACAAACTGCTTTGTGGAGAATTGAGGCTCCAGCAGATTCCTGCAGTATGCATGAGTATTTAGAATACCATCACAATTAGTCCCGATAAAAATCAAATGAGGGTTTAAAACTAGCCCTATATACCTATGTGTCCAGTTGCCCTTTGAAAGAAAGCATGTAATAAAATGTTATCTTTAAATTACATCTCTCTATCTACACAGAGCTGGAAAACAGCCATCTCAGCAATGAAGCTTGACAGCTGCTCAGAAGAATTTTGTGTCTCTACACGCTGTTCTCTTCTCTTGGTTATGATGCCATCAGTAACTCTGCACTTATGGAACATTTAACTAAATGTATATTTAATTGTGCATAGAGGAGGATTTTACAACACACAGCTATCAACCGATCCATTGTTATAACACACTTTTTTTCACATGATCACAAACTTCATAATTCTATAGACAAAAAAATCTGTGTCATCTGGAGCTATGTCTCAAAGTCCACATAAGTATTTAATGCTATTAACACACTGAGACAATTTTTTTTTAGTCCCTCTCCATGTTTCATATAGAGGTGAAAGAAAACCAAAAACAACCTGTGGAATCAATAAGTTCGCTATAGACAACTCCAGGTACTTATCAATATTTTTCTCTGTTGTTTTAGTAGTACTTTACAGGGAACCAATATTAAATACATTAAAAGAGAAGCCATCAGCATGCTTCTTATTGCTTATTACGAAATGCCTGCCTTCATGTCTCATTTGCTTTTTTAAACTGCAAGAACTTCCTGCCTTCCTTTGCCAACCTTTTCCTTTAGTTGAGATCATCCTATGCTAGGAATAGCAGAATTTGTACAATGCCAGTTATCTCTGTCTAGAGGACACATACAGTGTGTTGTAGAACACTGGCCTGGCCTGATCATGCATTCCTCAATGATCCAATATCCAGGAAAGACACATAAAAAGATGCATAATCAAATTGACTATAGAAGTGGCACAAATTACTAAATGCCAGTATAAAAGGATGGCAGAAACTCATAGCAGAAATACTTCTATGGGCTCAGGACCATGTCTGTGGCAGAATTTGAAGGGGAAAAAAACACATCATGAGAAGACACTTTTAGGTGCTTTATTAAGAGAAAAAGATGTTATAGTTAACAAAAAATACAGTTAATTACTAACAAATAGGCTAAAGTGTTGACTCAGACAGGGTTACAGGAGAGAAGTTATACCTCTTATTAAACTGACTAATTTAGTATTAACAAAAAAGGCTTCAGAAACACAAACCCCATTACAGAGGCAGATGCTTGTCCATTTTCCAACCATATCAATTGGGTTAATGAGAGAGATTGTTTTTTATTCCACCACTGTTCCTTGCTTACATTCTTAGGCTATCACACTTACAGCATTATCACTTTATCTTGAAAATGTTCAATTATCTTTTTCCTTAGCCTTTGTTTAAAAGATCAGTTTTAATGTGATAGCCAACCCCATTAAAATCATAAATAGACAAGTGAAAACCAGACAAAAAAAAAAAAAAGAAAACCAGTAGACACTAGACAGTAGCTGTTTTCAAGTTGGTTGGGTCTGTTGCATTTCAGTTCTGAGAACACTGAAAATATTTTATTAGCTATTAGCAATTGTCTTTAGCAACTTGAGGGACACAGATTCCAGAAGTCTAGAAAAGGCAAATACTTACTTTCAAAATGTCAAAAGGGAAAAGAGAGCTTACCTTCAATTACAATTACCAGAAAATATCAGAACAAATAATGAAAAGGTCTATTTGCAAGAATCTTGAATGTAAATAGGATGTAGGAGACAAAGGAATTTATAATAAATAAATCATGTAAGAGCAAATTTATTTCTCTCTACAGTAGATAACAAGATTAATGGACAGAAGAGAAAAAACACTGTCATGCATCTGGATTTTGGCTTTTGACATCTCACAGGACATTTGCATAGACAAGCAGATTTGAGGTAGGTAGTTATTTGGGAAATCCCATTCACAGAATTAGTTACCAATAGTTATTAGTGATTCATCTTTAAATGAGCAAGATGCATCAGGTCAGATTCTGCAAGAATCTGCATGACATGTTCATTATTGAACCAGTAGATGATTAAGATGCTTTTTGCATTTTAAAATTACACTAAGCTAAATGGACTTCAAATCCATCAGAGTGCAGAATGTACATTTTAAATTACCTTGGTGCACAGCAGAAATCTGGATGCAGCTAAGCAATTAAGTGAATTCACATGTGCCTATACAAGTAAAATTACCTGCACAAATATAAAAAGGAGAATGACTAACCAAACACAGTGCGAAAAAGAATCTGGCAATTAGAATGGATCACAAACAAGCAATAAAATTGTACAATTGCCTAAGAAGCAATCATGCTGTGTTATATAAAAGGAGTACATTTTATGTTAAACACACAAAATATTCCTTTCAGAGCTCGTAATTCTTTACCTGGATCCCTGTGACCACTGCAGGTTATCACATGTCAATACAATACATGAACCAGCTGGAGAAAGTCCCAGAACCTGAAATAAGAATGAACTTAAAAAAACTTTTCTAGCATAAGACTTTGCAAGAACTGAGCTTGCAAAGCTTAATCCAGGAGGGGAAAGACTAGGAGAAGGTTCAATAGCTGTTCTCAGATTTTCAGAGAGATGTTTTGTGGAAGCAGACAATGAATTGTTTTCGATAATCTCTGAAAAACAGAAAAGATTGCAATAAGGGAGAATTAGGTTAGAGGTGAGAGAAATAATACAGTGTGAAAGGCCAACTAAGCAATGAGTAATAGACCTACGGAGATTTTTCCTGATTGCTAGAAATTTTAAGGAGGAGCAAGCCAAGCAACAGTGAGGAGTGGTTTTCTGTATCATTCCTCTTTTGGAGAACACTTTTGATTTAGTTGATCTCATAAATATTGCACAAAAAGTATTATTATCAAACAGTACAGCACTTTCTACCCTTGCTCATAGTATAGATTGTGGTGTTAAACATATACCTCCATTAAGAACACTATAATGTCAGCTGAATATGAAAAATGAAAGTAAAATGAACGCCTTAAAGAAGGAATCAAATTTTCTTTAACTAGGCAGCATGCTATTGATTACAGCAGAGGAATTGAAACTGTAGATATACAGATATACAGATTTCTCAGAGATTTTTCACAGTAGACCACTGTTTTCTGTCCAAATATTTAATTGATCCAAAAAGATTAAAGTTTAGTTATTAATTACACCTACAAAATTTAATGCCTTTGTGAGTAGTCCATATTGCACTGGCTTCTAAGGTTACTGCATGCTCAACAGTTGTCAGTTTCTCCATATTAAAAAGTAAATAAAATAAAATCAATTTCTTTATCCTGTAGCTCTGACATGTCCATTATTTCAGAAATATTGATTCGTGTCACTTTCTTTCCCACTCCAAATTTTTCAATAGGTCATTAGTTATATAATACTGTGGATAATATTTACATCATACAAGCACGGTTATCAAGTAACCTAAAAGTTTGAGGTATGTATCAGTATACCATGCAGAGGCAAATCCTGTAAGCAGTCTGGATGACACTCCTCTAAATTTCTTGGACAGATGAAATAATGAAAATGACACCTTGGGCCATTAAGAGGGAACGTGGTCTCCATCCTGTCTGACATAACTGGATTCAAATATTCTCCACTTTGTTTTAGCCTCCAGGCCTTTGTCCCTTCTTACATTAATAGTTCTGAGAGAAATAACATGTGAATGTTTAATTAAACCTGTGATATGTTCCATTTCCAGCTCTTTATAGTGCTTTAATAGCACACGTGAACTGTTAAACAGAATTCTCCATCTGGGTGGAAAACTACCACTGAAGCCAAGAGAAATTCTGCACACAAAGCTGGAGAGGACCAAGTCCAAGAGTGGTGAGAAGGCAGTGTGCTGAGCTTACCCTCACTACATCTGAAAGTCCTTCTCTTTCATAAAACACATTTCCTAGTCTTAAAAATAACAGGGAATAGCAAAGAACAGCTGCTACTAAAAGCAGCAAATGTCCCTGTTGCTGTGAGCTCATAAAACTCACAGGTCTTTCAGATAACTTTACTCAAAATGGTAAATATATACTAGAAAAAGTGTTAACAAGATCCCACTTGCCAGTATAGATCCTTGTATTTAGAACAAATCTATGTATGAACATATTTTCTAATAAAAGTGAGCTACTAGGAACTCCTCATAAAATACGGCACTATGAGAAAACATTGTTTCAGAAAGTTTCTTTACTTCATCAGCAAGATTTCCCAAAAATCAGTGTCATCAAAAATAGCATTTGAAAGAGGCTTTAAGGTTATTTTTAAAAACAAATATTCGTACTTTCTGACAAGAATGAGAAAACTTATGGCGAGCTATACAAAACCACAACTTACTGCTGCTCTGATCATTATTCCCAGTTATTGGACTACATGCCAAAGCAGCTAAAATGACAAACTCCAGGAATAATTGTGTTGGAGTTTTAGAGCTGCCTCAGAATTTCTCATGTTGTTGGACAATCTCTTTGTTGCTCATCATCCTCATCCTTCAGAAATCCATTTCCTTTCCTTTCAACATTTTTCTTGCTATAGTTTGTCTGGTTTTTATCCATTCATGCACAACCTCAAACCCTTTATATATCCTGCGAAACACAAGATATGTTTAGAGGACCTTCAGGCTGTGAGGGCAGGTTTTGCTCAGATGGGCAGATGGATTTAAGAAGCACATGCCTGCTGACATGGAAAATGCATACCTGGAGCCTTCCTGCTGAAACACAGCCTGCACAGTCTGAAACCTTCACAGATACACACCACAACCCCTTAGTCAAGTAACTATTTCCTATTACAATGTTGGGTTCTTTTCCTGACTTGATCCTGCTTCAACATGGAGAACTCAGACTTGGTCTCATATTTCATGTGTCCTGTTCAACTCAGGAAAGTTTAGTGTGCTGTCTGTAAGCAGCTTAAGGACAGAGTTGGATTTGATCTGAATTTTATATTCTGCTACTGAGATAAAAACAGAACTCTTACTTTTTAAGGAGTGCTTAGACAATGTTCAGACAGAAAACTCCTGAAAGCATCCAGAATACCCTGTGTGCCTGCACACTGAAAGTGCTTGAGTCATTCCCAGCACCTTATAGCTATACTTCCCACAAGTATGCACTGAGAAAATCCTGGGACGCAGGTTCTGTGGTGTGCAATAAGTCACCCATCATTCATCCTCCCGTTTTTCCACACTGTGTAGATGTTATGAGCTCGCCATGCAAACCTACATATGGCACAGGGCCTCAGAAAATGGCTGGCAAAGAGAGGAAAAAGTCAGTCCCAGCCAGGTGCTGGCCTCACTGTGTCAGCCCTCCCCCCAGTTTCCCAAGTGTTGACATTGTCTGAGTTTGCAAATAAAGGCTGTGGAGTAAGGATAAGAAGGCACAGAGATGCTCATTAGCACAAGGGCCCTTTATTAGGCAAGCTGTGGAGATGCCACCACTGCCAGCTCAGCTACCACGGGTCTGCAAGCCTGAAGGTGGGTGCAGCCCTGTGCACAAGGCCCTGAAACAGCAGCCCTTGCTCCTACAGGGCACACCTGAGACATCCTCCCCTCACAGGGGATTCTTAGTGTCCCTCAGAGGCTGCTACAAGGTCTGGGAGGGTGGGCACTTTGTCTCAGTGGTACCTTCAACAGAGTCACAAGGCACCAGGCCTTGAGGTTCAGCTATCACACCATCTCAACCACCCTGTTTGTGAACCACAATTACAACATCCTGTAGTGCCACAGGGGAGAAAGAAACCTGGATAAGCAGGGCACAGGAAAGAGAGGGTCCAACCTGTCCTCCTACTTTCTTGGCCTCAGTTTTGATCCATGGATCACAATGTGATGTGATTGGTGACCTACAGAAATAGGGAATGAGCCTGGATTTTCCTTTATTTGGACACTGGACACATATCCAGCAGATCAAATGGGAGGTATTACATCCTTACCATGCTCCATCCAAGTAGCTCCACACTATCCATTGCCAGCTTGCAGTTCACAGGCACAGCGTTTCTCCAGCGACAAGACACATTTACAACATAAGTTCCTTCAGGTCCAGTTTTACATTAAGAACAAGCCTGTGCTTTTTAGGAATAACAGAAAATGCTATGCATGCATTGATATATTGAAAAATAGTAACAAATATATTCTCAAAAATATTAAAAATGCACGTTATGAGCCATTAGGAAAAGACAGTGATATTGCGCAGTACAGATCACATTATTATCTCCAAAATACCCTGACCTGAATCTATCTTTATTCAGCTTTTTCAGAAAGATGGAATAATCCCTGGTGATTTCACCAAGCACAAAGAGTCAAAGTGATGTGTCCACAGTAGGTAAAACAGTGATTCAGAAATGTTCTTCCTTAACCCATTGTCTGTCAAGCAATATTTCTACACCTTAATAATAGGCTAAGAGATCATGAGAATTAATCACTGTGATTAATTGTGCTTCTAGATAAAATGTATATTGCAGATTGTTTTTTACCATGTCTGGTGTTGGGGAGAAATCATACATTGCATCAAATGACTGTGTCAGTTCTGCTGCAAACTCAGTTCTTGCTGCTCAGCTATAAATAGTGCTCACTACACATGTGAAAACCATCATGCTTCATTCTGAGGTGGGAAATTGCTGAAGAAAAGTGTTCTGGTAAACAAACTCTTCCTGATGGCTCTCTGAATATCTGGCAGTGAGCAGAACTCCTGGTTTGCTCTGCTGACAAAATCTGCCTCACTCCTCCCTGCTAATAAAGCAAGGCTGCATGTCAGGGAAGGCTGAGACCACTGATACAGAGGAGTCTTGGTGTCAGCCTTAGAAAAACCCAGCCAAAGCTGCACTTTTTATCAAACCATCTCCCAGGTATGGCCCAGGTGTTCACTGCAGCCCAAATCTCACCTGTTGATACCATCATCTCCCTGCCAGCCCTCACCACAGGCCCAGCAGTGCTCAGCCCCACGTGGCACACACCACAGATGCATTTTTCGAAATTAGAGATTCTTGAGGAAAACAATTTCACAGCCTGTAGGCAGCCTCTTTCGGTGCTGCTCAGAAAGGCTTATGTCTCACTACTCTTCTCTGCTACAGTTTAAGCACATTTTTCTTCCCTGTCCACCAAGAATGGAGAACAAGCTATCCTCATTTGTACCCTCCTTTTGTACCAGTTTGCTTTTGGACATCCTAGACAAGGTCACTGTGACTACTAGCAATATTTCACACAGTTCAAAATTGCTAAGTGCTCATATACCATCCTGTTCCAGAAACTACACGGGCTGCAGCAGGGCTGCTGCATGTAGCTATTTGATGGAAAATATGTTCAAGGTATCACACACCCCTGCTTTGTTCTGCAGTGTCACACGAGATCTCCAGGACCTGGATGACACAGTATTTAAAGGTCTGGTTTCCCACCTTACCAATCATGTGCACAATGCTCACTGCAACCATGCCCAACATCCCATGTAGTATCCCTGCCAAGAACCCTGGGAATGTTTTTCCTTCCATTCATTAAGCCATTCTTACACAAGCATAAAATATACCAGCTGACTTTGCTATTACTAAACACACCACAAAACTGACATAGTTTGCCAAATGTACTTAGTCTGCAAGCAGTCACAATGGGTTGTATTCATGGCATCCCCCTTTAGAGTTTGCACAAGTCATCCTTCAGATGTGCCCACCCCTTTCCAGTGACTCTAGAGGAGAGGAACACTAACATTAGGCTTCCAACTTTTGGTGCATGAAATCACATTTCAGTCTGATATCTAAAGTGGACAGTGAGTCCATCTTGCATCAGCACCGACATGGGTGGTTAGCTCAGCATAGGACTTCAGGCATAAACAACATTTGAGTGAAATCATGCAACAGATCCCCCATAACCATGGCTCAAATACTCCCAAATGATGCAGCCCAGTCCTGACTGAAATTAATTCTTTTCTAAATATAAGTGAAAGGACAGAAAATATTTTGCAGTCCTCAGTCTAACAGTGATGATGAGGGATCTAAAGAAGTCTTCATTTTGAGTCACTGGCCATTGTACACACACACACTCTTTAGGCTATTAATACTGAGTTTTGCAGTATAGGTAACACATTGCAAACTTCTCTATAGCTATCCAAATCTTCAGAGAGAGAACCCATGTAGTTAGTACTGACATTAAATGTTCATTCTTTTCCTTCTCCTTTAGTCTTGATGGCTACATTTTAAGAACAGACTTTGATATAGCCCATGACATGCCTGAGGGTATTTTTAAAAATCAGTTTGGGGGAAGATGAAGAGAATGAATAGATGAAAATAAAGCTCAATCTAAATTAGTAATTTACATGTTCCCAGATGTTTCCTTCTTGAGATCTTGCATAGAGCAACTGTATCAGATCACCTGTAGTTTAAGTTTTTCAGTTTGTCACTTAATCTCTCCTCCTTTTTTATAAACTGATCTCATGTTTTCCAGAGTAATGTTTTCACTTCATATCATCTGAACAAACGAATGAAGTATTCCCTCCCCCACAAACACCAGCACGTGCTCACTCATGCTTCTCTCTTTGGTCTGCATGAGATAACTTGGCACCAAAAAAGTATGTGATTAAGTTTTAACAAGTGTCAAAGGCAAGAGGCTCACAGACACTTACCTGGAGATCAGAATGAAGTTTAGGCGTTTTCTGAAATTCAAATTAGCAAGTGTCATTCTTCCTGCCTTCTACCACACTTCAGGGAATGTTTGATCTGCAGAGAGAGAGTGACACAGAAAATGAGCAAGAGAGAAACCTCCAGGATCCAGAGGCACAGACTTTCCACTCCCCAGCATTACCACTGTCTCTAGGAGCATGTGAATAATCATAGTTACTATTGCTTACATGATCCTATTGCAGGGAACTAATGTAGAGTATTGTAGAACCAAATTACTCATAAATATTTAGGTCAAGAAATTCAGCATAAAACAACAGTACAATTAACAATTCAAAATGCTGCCACTGAAAGTTATTTTTGACACCATCAGCTGGAAATGAACAGACATGCCTTTGTTAACTTATTCTTTAGGCTATCATTTGTAATAAAATATCAATGCAAAAAGCAACCTCCGAGAGCATTGATCAGAAAATTCATAATCTTTTTTTGTTTACTAAAGCCCACATTTTATAAAGACTCTTGTGATCTCATGTTACTGCCAAGTTGCTCAGAAATAAAAGACATTGCAAGGGAAGGAAGGAGATCTAACATCTCATGACCTACATGGGTTCTTTATTGTTAAAAATGCTAATTTTATGTAGCTTATGTATCAGGGGAAAAATTACACAGAGTGTATTTTATACATCAACTTCAATACAAGTTTTACACTGTACATAGTGGTCTGTATTGATGAATTAATGCTTACCTATATCTACCCTTCATACCTCTCTAATACATTATTACACAAATGCTTGAAAAAATGTGCCAACAACCAGAAAAAGACTTGCGGTAGCAAATAAAGATATATGTACAATAGTGATCTCCTTTCATTTTTAACTGAAAACTATTAAGTCTAGTGAACTGTAAGACCTGCATCCTTTGTCCACCTGAGTATCCCATTAAGTTGCAGCTGGCATATTGCAAAGGGAAAGAAAGAAAAAATGTAAAAGAAACCAAGTACCAGGAATATAGGAACTGTGCAAGAAGCAAGTTTATTCCTCTTGCTTGTGTTCAGTCAGTCCTGTACCATCAGTCTTCTACTTTCACTTCTGCAAGCAAGCTTCTGTTTGCATGCTCAAATCTGAACAGTCCATCATCCAATATTACACTGAGCCAGGGGCTGAGTTTTAACAAGTTTTAACTGCATAGAGTGACCTTGGTCCATTTACACACATTTTAAATACTGACTCCTTTCTCCTGTCACAGGACAGGAAAAAAATGGCATCCAGTTTATATTGGATCTTCTAATTTTATATTAGCTTGTTCAATCTGGGACTAATCCTTTCTTGAATATTGATGCAATTTGGGGTATTGATACAAGCAGTGCAAAAAATGAATGGGACAGGGGAAGAAAATGTATGATCAAGGCACCATGAAGTCTTTATCTCTTCTGTGTGTTTTTCCTTGCTTTGCTTTCAATTCCTCATCAAATTGCACAAGGACCTGTTACACTAAATTCTGGCAAAGGGGGCAGTGGTGTGGTCATGCAACAGGCACATGGCACACAGCACAGGAACCTCTTCCCTGACCTTTCCTGTTTGAAAGATACACTAAATGCAGCCCTGTCAAACCATGCTACACCTAATTCCCAAGTGTCCTGTTTTCCTACCCAACAGCAGTGCAAGGCAAGGACAAAGGGGAATTAATACATTTGAAAGTACATATGCCTCTCATTGTTAATAAAACCTCACAGATATATAAAAGAGGCACAACTGTTAAGTCTTATTAACAAAGAATCAGTGACTGTGTTAACAAAGAATCAGGTAACTGTGACTGGCTAGGCAGTTTTCTATGTGCCCACCTTGGAAGCGTTCAGGGTTGGATGGGCTCTGAGCAGCCTGGCCCAGTGGAAGATGTCCCTGCCCATGGCAGGAGGGTTGGAACTGGATGATCTCTAAGGTCCCTTCCAACCCGAGCTATTCTATGATGCTTTGATTCTGTGAGTACAGGGTATTGTGCACCTTAAAATCTTTGCAATGACCCTCTAACTTGTCTTTGAATGCTGCTGATTTTAATGCTGCTATTTTTGGTAGACAGCAGTAAGATCAGAATGCTTTCTGAAAAATGTAAGATTTAGAATAATGAAGGGTCCAAATCTGAAGACATTATTTTTTACTTTATTCTTATTTTTTTCCTTTGGCATATCTGACAATTTATTCTTTTAGACTGATGCAATCCATTCAGAAAAGGTATCATAGCAGCAAGATTGAACTGCAGTGCAAAGAAGCAACAAAGAAGCACTGTTTCTGCCTTGTCCTAAAGACTTTTTCCAAATATATATATATATATACATAAATGTCTTTATTTATAGCTCTGTTGAACTACAGAAGTGAAGAGAGAGAAAAGCACTGAATAATTCATCAAATTTTCTTCCTTTATTATGAAGGTCCAATTTTCCCATATAAACATAACCAAACTGAATTCTTACAAATTATTAATATTAAAAATGCAAACAGAGGATTTCATCCCAAAGAAAAACAGTCTTGCTAGTCAGCATTGGTAGAGCTTCTGTGCCTTCAGCTAGAGACAGGCATACTGATCTGAGGCAGCAATCCCTGTCTCTGTGCTCAGTCAATGTAGGTGACAGAGTCCAGTGATTAAGAGGTCTCATCCTAGGCAGAGATCTAAAACAAATCATTTAACTACATTACAATACTGTCTATTTCTCTCACTAAAAATAAGAGGAGCCCAAATAACTGTCTCAGGTATGGATAAGTACCCCATACATGCTTAAAGCCATGAGAGATTAAAAATTTGCTGTGTCCAGTCTCTGATAAACCAACTTACACAACTTGAGTTATGACTACAGAAAAAATGTCAGAAAATACATAAAAACATTCAAGAATATTCTAAATATCTGTTACCTTCAAACCACTGCAGGCAATTCCAGTTAAAATATCCTCTCTGGGAACACCCAGCCAGACCCATTGCAAATTTTATATGTCAATAAAACATTCTCCTATGACAGAAGAGCTTGGATTTGACTGCAGTGAAATTGAGCCTTATGCAGAGAACATATTTGCTATATTGTTTACTAATATAGCTTGCAAGGCTGTGTTTAGAGAGATATTAAGAATTAACCAGCATGTTCTCTAATTGTGGATTATGTATGTAATTCCCCAATCTGAAAGAGGAGTATATATATCTAAAAATAAAGCTCCATACACAGTTTCCCAGTAGACAATTGCTTACTCATTTAAAATGTATGTTTACTTAAAATTTTGTTCCCTGGGATGGCCTGATGAAATATACATTTCATTTTAGCAGGGATTCCCAAAGGAGTCAGCTGCCAGGCAGCCTTTTTCTAACTCCTTCCATGCAAACTATGTAAAGCAGGACACCAAATCTGCAATAGCAGGCAACACTCAGGAATTAGAGTTGGAGCTCTGTTTGTGCTGGCAGTGCCTGAGGAGTACATGGATCTGAACAATTCTGTTAGTACATTGATAATTCATTCCTAGCAATTTGTTACCTGACATTAATTTCCTTCAGAACCACAGTATCTAAACATGCCCCACATAAAATCACTTTTAGGAAAGTCAGAAGCTAAGAGGAAATGACTGAGTGAAATTTCCCTAGTTATGAATGCTTGCAGGATTTTGACATCCCAAGGTCCTGCAAGACCCACAGCTTAATTTTAGCTACTTTTGTCTTAGGCAACGGAGATATTAATTATTCTAGCTAAACATCTACCTTAAATTCCATCCCACATTCTGAAACCATGAAGACAGATTAAAAAACCAGACTGAAGAAAGTTAAAAAGCATTGCATAAAGTCTATAACCACCAGAATTTTTACAAAATACTTACTACCATGTATTAGATCAAACATGTCACACAGACCATCTGCATTGTTAGATAAATATCTACGTGCCACATGTGAATGAAGAAAAATTTATTGTATTAAGTTTTCATTTTCTGAATTACTATAATGTTTTATTCATTTTATATATAAATAATATTTTCTATATTGAATTGTTTTCTATCAATATTATTATTTATTGTATATTCATTTTTTATTTATATTATTATAAATCCTTCAAAATCAATGTCACAAACAAAATTAAATTTTGATTTTATTACATTACATTACAAGCCTTTGGCTGAAATAAAGTACAGGAAAATAGTAGTATACTTCTTGGCAGGAGTCCTGAAGACATTTATATCAAGAGTCACTTAAAACTGAATCAGAAGGGATCCAGGAATCACTGGCTGTAAGTAATACCAGCAAGGAAAACTAATCTCTATGAAATGATACTGAAAAAAACATTTTTAAATGTACTCTTTTCTATCAAAGCCTTTCACAGAGTAAATGTCTTTAAAGAGTTTGACTGAACTGACAGATGGATCTGAATCTCTCACTCAACAACTATGAATCAAGATGAAACTATAGCTGGTTTTATGGGAGAAAATAGAGGTAAACTCCAGAGACAACTATGTTCTCTAGAGAGGAAATAAGTATACTTAGTTATAAACAGTATATGCAGTTATAAACAGTTGAAAAATACCAAAGGAGCAAAACTCTCTCAGAGTTTTTATCTAGCAACTAATAGCACAGGTGAGTGGCATTTGCAACAGGGAGAGAGAAAAGTGGGTTGCTCACAGTATTGTTAAATAAAGGATTGGGTTCTGCTCAGTCTTCCAGACCTGCCAGACTTGCTGCATACCCATCCATATACATCAAAATGCATTGAAACTGTAGGAGAAGAAAACAACATATTTTTTAGACTTTTCTAAATTGAGCAGGGCTCATAACAAGGCAGCTACTAAAAATAAAATAAAAATTTAAAGGAGGTGGGTTAGAGATAGGATAGGAAAACAAATAAGAAAGAAAATAGTAACCAATTTTTTTTTATTTATTTTAATTTCATACTCTGGCTTTTTGTAGCCTAAATTAGGTATTTACAGAAAACCCTAGAGTTCAGGATAATTTGGTATTGAAAGATGAAATGAGCTCTTAGTTTTGAAAGACAACATCAAGAGGCAGCATGGTCAATCATGAGAACATTATATGAAAATCATTTTGCAGATTTGAAGTGTTGAACATTAAAATACACA